CCTCGGCTCAAGTGAAGGCGAACTGCAGAGAGTGCAGTGAGCAGGAGCTGCGCTGAAGGTGTGGAGGAGGAGCCTGCATGCACAAAACTGATGGGAAACTGTTCTGTGTGGCTGCTCCCATCCCTGGAGCAGGGGCTGGAGTGGGGGGGGGGGCAGAGGTCCATGAGATGGGAGGCAGCACAGGGTCAAACCAAACGCTCCCCGTTACCAAACAAAGAAAAAGAAAATGATGTTCAGTCAGACAACAAGTGGGCAACACAGACGAAAACAAAGTTTGATGGTGGGTGTGGAAATGTTGAGAGGAATTTAAACTGGAACTCGTTTTCTGAGCCGAGAGTCCGAACCAGGCTTTTTATGGAGCGCGCCAAAGAATCCTGTCTGACGTACGTGCGTCCTGTCAACAGAACTCCCACGTGCACAGTGTTTCTCGTTCTCCAGTCACGACCTACCAGTGTAATCAGGCTCAGGCGGATCTCATCACTGGGTTAAAGTCCCACACTAAAATATAGAATTTGATTTTAAGTAAATTGAGGATGGCTGCTCTAACAGAAGCTCTTACCCTCTCTTTCCTCCTCCATGTGGCTGATGCGGAGGGTCATGGCAACCTTCTCCTCCCTGGCCCGGTCCCTGGCGCTGACAGCCTCCGCCACCATCTCCTGCCATTCCAACACCTGACTCTGAGTGTCATCTGCACTTCCTGACTCACTGGCCTGCGAGCAGAGAGCGAACCAGACAGTGAGGAGGCATCATAACCGAAGGAGAATTTAAAAAATAAACATGCCGGACCCCTGACCTGAGAGGCGGCCCTCTTGGTGAACTGCTCCAGGTCCGCCTGTAGAGTCCTCTGTTGCTCCTCGTACACCACCAGCTTAGCCTCCAGCATTTCTAACACAACACATCCAACGTCAGCAAAGTCAGCAGGGACATTATCGCCTTTGTCAGATTAGAGTCTGGAGGGGATTTGATTTCACTTTCTTCAGACGGAAACAGATCAAAAATGTCATTAAATCGACAGAAACAAAAAACAAACTGACAATTGTGGATTTCCAGCTGATCTGGATCAAATGTCCAACGTTTGGTTTTGTTACCGTTCTTTGTTTTGAGCTCCTCGTACTGCTCAACCTTCCAGAGGTTTTCCTCCCTCTCCTCCTCCAGTGCCGTGATATGACTCCGCAGGGCCGTCAGATCCGGGGGGGCGTCTCCGGCCTGAAGAGAACAAAGTCAACATCTTTTAAACGGGTTGTTTATCATGTTACTGTGGAAAAAATACATCGGACAGAGGATGACAGGTTTGTGAAAATCTTCCAGGCTTCTCTAGAAAAGAACACGATTGTTCATTTTACTTGGCTTTTCTTCAGCTCATCCTCCAACTGTCTGATCCGAGATTTCGACCAAGCTTTCATCTTCAGGAACTTCGCTTCTGATCTGCTGGCTTCGTCCGTTTTTTGTTTTGCTTTTGCTGCAAAAGAAGAATAAATGTATTTAATTTAGTGACGAGATCTCACTGATTGTTCTTAGACCTCAACATTCTACGATTACAGCTATGACAGTGTTTATTCTGAAGATATGGTTTAAATGACATCACCTGGTTTACAGTTAAATGTGCTGGAAAGTTTGATGCACAGAACATTTAATCTGATAAAAATCATTTTATCAAAAGAAAAGATGATGTAAGACAATAACCTTCCAGCTCAGCTATTCTTTCGATGGAGGCTGAATCAGCAGTCGTGCTTCCCGTCGCTGAGGCCTCCTGACTGGCAGGTGGCGCTGCTACCGAGGTCCTCCTCAGCTCCTCCAGCTGCTCCAGGAAATCCTGCTGGGCTTGGTCCATCATTGAGCGATGCTGCTCGGTCAGTCGCTGAACCTCTGCCTGCTGTTTCTCCATCAGATCGCGGAGTTGTGCTCGCATCACGTGCTTCTCTGCCTCCATCTTGGACGCCATGCTCTCTCGTTCAACCTGTAGCCGACGGAGCCTCTCAGTCAGCTCCTGCAGGCGGAAGAAAAGATGACGGACAGTCGAGAACATTATAAAAACATTGTGGGGAAGAAAGTGTGATTTCAGTTTAGAAACAAAAAACTCGGTGTTTACACAAGCGTAGAGGTGTCGTGTTTCCTGACCTTTATCTGTTGGTCCCTTCCATCAACTTCTCCCTGGAGAACATCAATGACCTGCGTTTTACCCAGCAGCACCTCCTCCTTCTCATGGAGCTTCTGTTTTAGAGCCTTCAAGAGCTGAGGAGACAAAACACACGTTACTAAGCATGGCGCTGCACCAGGGTCAGAGTGGGCTGAAGTCCTGTCCCCAGTCAAGCTCAGACATTCAAGACGGCAAGAGACTCAAGACAATTTATACGTCGTGTCCTGTTTTAGTGGACGAGTCCGACCCGGAGTCTCTCCAGCTGCGTCCTTCACATGATGCTAACATCATGCCAACACTACAGAAAAGGTCCGGACCCATTTTTCTGGACAGTTTTTCCGGCTATAGTCATGTGATGAGGGACATTGAATCATTTGGCTCCTGCGGTAACTTGACGGCTGTGAGCAACTCTCACATCTCCTCTCCACAGATGTGAGTTTGTAAGAAGAGGTTTCAAGAGAAAAACAGACGTTTAAATAAACAGGCTCCTCAGTGATTCGTTTGGAGAGGAGTGATGTCACTACCTGCTCCAGGTCGGCGCTGGCATCAGACTTTGCTGCGAGCTTGAAGAGCTCCTGCTCGTGCATCTGGTTGATCTCCATCAGCTGGTTATCTTTCTGAATGATGATGTCTTTGAATGTCTGGATCTAGAAACAAGTAAGTGGTGAATCATCAGAGACACGATCGCTGTGCGTCTGAGCCTGTGAAGATCTGATAATGTGACACCTGAAGGATTTAAAAACCTACATTCTGTTTGTACATGTTCTCCTTCTGACCGTACTGCTCCTTCTCTGTGACCAGCAGCTCTTTCAGGCTCTCCGTCTGCTCCTGCAGGAGACTGTAGCGCTCCTCTGCTTCTCCCACCTTCCTGGTCAGACTCTGCACCAGCAGCTGGAGCTCCTGCATTGCTCCGCCGTCCTCCACCTACAGGAGTTAAAGCACAGCTGAGCATCAACAACTGCACTTGACCTAAAGAGAACGCCCAAAAATATAAATACACTGAACTGAATTTAAAAAGCAGAAAACCTGGAATGTAGGTTCTACTGTTGTTCCTTGTTTCTTAGGCTCCATCCACATTTATACGTTTTAATTTTAAATGTGGATCAATGTTTTTTCATTCATCTGGTGTCCAGTAAGTGGAGATTACTTCTGATCTGGTTTTAAAACTAAGTCGTATGAGTGTGGATGAATCTCAAGTGTTTCCGAGATGATGTTCTTTAGGTACGTGACCTTTTGTTGCGGTGCAGGTGAGATGGGCTGATCTCCTGCCAATGCTGTTTGCAGGTGGACGATGTACGCCTCCTTCTCCGCCAGTTTCCGGTCCTTCTCTGTCAGCATCGTGTCCATTTCCTCGCCTCGCTGCCGCTGTGACTCCACCTCCTTCCGCTGGAGTAAATTTAAGTTTTTGGTTTAAAAAGAATGAAGAGATGTCCAGAAGAGAAGAGAGAGATTTTTGAACGCTTGACTGCCTCTGGACACATCGTTCCTCGTTCAACTAACTATGACAACAGGAGGAAAACATCTAATTAAATTAATTTATAACACAATTAGCTTCATGGTTTGTGATACTGAAAGTCACTGATCCAAGCATCTGTGCCCATTTCAAAGACTTCTAATAAAACCAGAAGATTTTCATCTTTTTGAATGTGAAATCAAATTGATCGGAGTCATGTGAAGAGTAAATATAATAAGGAAACTAAAAACAGAATAAATGTGAAGCATGAATAAGCGTTACCTTGTTTTCCAGTTCATTGTTTCTTTGTGCAAGTTGCTGTTCTAGTTCCTCAACTTTCTTCTTCAGTAAGACAATCTTGCCCCGACTGGCTTGCTCTCCTGCTTCTGATGATCCCTACACATAAATATCAAATGACACGTGTGGGACAAACAGAAACACGACTCTCGTGGACTGCTCCTGTCGCTCCAGATCGTTTGTTCATAAATGATCCATAACAACGTCATCCAACAGCGCTACTTTAACTTCACACTGCAGATTTCATCTAAAGTCAGAATTGGGATTTAAATTATGTCAGAATAAAATCTGAGACATAAACTGTTTTCAGACACGAACACCAGAAATTCTCCTCGTCTCTCCGAGTTGACGTCTTCGTCTTCTACGTGTAAAGTTCCAGATTTCAGTGCAGGTCTGAAAACAGTTTATGTGATGAGTTTCAGATCATATTCACATGGATAATAAACCTCACATGTTCCTCAGGTCTATCAAACTATCATCCATCTTTCTAATCATACGAGCGGGACTGTACCTTCTTGCTGTGTGTTGGTGTAACCTGACCTCCCTGTTGTTTCTTCAGCTCCTCCAGCTGGGTCGTGAGGGACGTCACCTTGGCCTTGTTCTGGAGACGCAGCTTTGACAGTTTGGCATCACACGCCTCCTTCTCCACCTGAGTCACAGAGGACATGAAAAGCTCCCATCAGCTGCTGTTATACCATCATTATTAATATTGCTCCCGCCGTGGGGCTTTACTTAATGTCAAATGCTGATTCATTATATACACACAGCATAGATGGTCCTTATCTGACACAAGTAATCAGAGATGTGTTCATAAATAACATGTGTCCTGCACAAAAAGACCAAAAAGATCCATCAGATCATCACTGCAACTTGTCAAGAGATGAATTTTTAGTGAATTTTGCTCCAGAGGGGAAACTGTCGTCACCTTGAGCTGCTCATCTTTGGTGCGGAGCGTTGCATCCTTTTCTCGGATCAACTCCTTCAGCTGAGTGACCAGCTGCTCAGTTTGGGTCAGCCGCTCGGCCATTTCTTCTACAGCAAGCTCTCCACCGCCAGCGGCCCTGTGGGGAGAGCCCGGGCCCTGAGGACGCAGACGAGATGGTGACCACGCAAAAGGTTTCATTTTGAGAGATGTGACACAATCACATTCTGTCCATACAACAAATGTATGAGCCCAGCTGGTGTTGGAACAAGCGTGCCGGTAAATGACTGTAACGTTATACAAAGTGAAATACTGAGTGTGTTTGTTTGACAAACTGAAAAAGTTTTACAAATCAACTTTAAACTTTCTTATTTTAAATGGATTCATGATTTTGTCTCTGTTGTTTTAAAAGTTACTGTCGAGCACATTGAACCTACCTGTGTATGAAGTGTGCTTCATGAATAGAACTGCGCTGACTTACCTCATCAGAATTCACAGATTTGATTGGATCAGTGGCGTTAGGTGATTAACAACACATGCTATCTGTCTGTGTGTTTCCTGGGTCGCCTAATTAACGCCAAACAATTCAAGGCAACAAAAGTTGTGCCGATAAAAAATAAAAAGCACCGTGTCAAAATGTGACAGTTCCCATCAGTTATGTGTCCGGATTACGGACAGCGGTCGTATTAGTGACGTCTGCTGCGGAGTAAACAGGCCGAGAGGGTTTCAGCTGGATTCCCCCTCACAGGAAGTGTGAGCTGTGACTGTCTGAGTCAAAGTCCTGTGCTCAGCATTCCAACTAATTCCAGTTTATCAGGACACATGACACACAACACAGACCTGTCACTGGTTTTTCTTCTGAACAAATGAAACTGCTCCACTGAAGCTTCCAGAACTCTCTGAGATGCAGGTCTTTAATAATGGATAATGAATTTTAAATGTAGTGATGGACATTTATGACGCGTTACACTAATGAAAAGATGTTTCAGTTTGATGAGTGACTGTTGACGACAGTGTCACAGGCTCAGATCTCTTCACTGATTACGATCCCACTGTTTAATCATGAAAAACAAACGTGTGTGAACGTACTGCAGACCCAGGCTCCCCCTCTTCACCGGACAGCCACTTCAGCATGGTTTCAGTTGAGACCTACAACACACACACACACACACACACA